CAGCAACAAATCCTATAAGAGATGTGATGTGTAACTATAACGCACTGAGTGAAAGGGGAAGTTTGCGTGTTGCTGCGGAAAATTGAAGCAGGTCAAAATGCATCAACACAACGAATCTAATATTGCATAAAAACAATGCCATACTTGACGGAGTTTGGCTACATCGAGGCTCACTGCAGTAAAAAAGACATGGAGGATCAGATAGCAGGTAAAGCAGCGCACAGCTACAAACACTCACCCGGATTAGCATGACAAACAGAAAGCTAAACAAATAACCCGCAAAATTATTTAAGTCTTCGAGCTGCGATGTAAGACGCTGGTTCTGCTCTCCTGTTGAACCGCTGCTACGCTACAGGTAGTAATATTTGACAGACGGAGCTTCTGCTCCACCTGGTAGTGACTCTCACACCGAACCTCTGCTTAAAGCTGAAGCATATAACTTAAAAAATAAATTTTACATACGTATTAAAACTTTAGTTGTCCTAACATGAGACAGATAATCTCTGAAAAAATAATCGATCTCCTCCCTGTTCCGCATAATTACTCCGCTCAGTCAGAAACAGCCACTCAGAACTAGCAGTAATCAGCTAGCCGCCATGCTATCAGGAAGTTTTCATTCAGTAACTCAGGATTGTTTATTGTAATGGAACCTGTTTTTGCCTTTGAATGTTAAGTTTTATACTTGAATTTTTTGGCAATGTTGAGAGGTTTTATTTAGACTTTTTGCATTATTTAGCCTCTTCAGAGCCTTCATATGTTTTCAGTCTGTTAAAGATAGTATTACTGATAGCAGTACAATTTGCACAATGCCTGTTTTTTTTTTTTCTTGGAAAAAATTATTAAAAACAAATTTGTCTCTAAATTAAGGTGAATTCATGGTTTCTTTTCCCACATAATGTAACCACTAGTGCTTATGATAAAAAAAAATAATTATGTGATCGGTTTCGGTGATTGGCCATGATCGGCCCTCATTGGTGATCAGAATCGGCAGGAAAAAACCTGATTGGCACATCTCTAGTGGATACTGAAAGTGAATGAGAGAAAATAAAGTTATGTGTTTTTATACAGTGTAAATGTGTGGTTTGAATTGTAAAAATGTCATCAATATATATTTGTATCCCAGCCAATATTATTATTTAGATACTTTTGGATATTTTAATCTATGATCAACTTAATTTCTTTCTACATGTTGTGTTTTTCTGTTAATCAGCATCAAAAGACTTATTTTGTGGCCCTGATCCTGATCAGGCCAAATTAGGATTAGGCCAATCATTCAACTCAACCGTTGAATGATTGAGTAATCTTGACATAAACTCTTTGTCTTTGTGCTTCCAATGTCAGAACAATTGCTGATAATACAATTCTAGGCTGAAAAGGCCTGATCTGGCCAAGTATTGTATGAATGCTGAATGAAAGCATTCCCACAGTCAACAAAAACCCAGAAAAGACTTCAGTTTGTAAATAGTTAGGAGACGGTAGATAGCCATTGTGTTTCTTTCTCACTAAAAGGACCAAAATAGTTGGAATCCAGAGTTAACATATCGAATGCTGACTGTGTGGTCTGCTTTTTTCAGAATGGAGAATTCTTCAATTCATGTAAGTTTACAGGAAAAAAAGGTGACATTTCTGTTTTTTTCTCTTGTTGGAGGAAATTATATATAAATATATATAGATGGTATATATAGTTGAGCAGCCTGTCTGAAGCCAAAGTTTCACGGCAGAAATGCAGCTGAAACGCAGAATCACATGTGTCAATAATGTGATCAGGTTAACAAAGACTTTTATCTTATACAAATATAGATTATGGATTAAGACATTCTGTTAGGCACTTTGTGTATCCCAGAGTACAAACTCTGGTGTGATTGTTACGCTCTTCAACAGAGGATTGATTTCATCTGTGAAAGAGGCTTTCAAACTGATTTTGCCTGAAACTCTTGGCATATTTTTTAGAAGAGAAGCATCTGAAGGCAAAACCGAAAGCTGTAAGGGATAAATTAACTAGCTGCACAGAAGATCTTCAGTTTGCATCGGGCAGCTGACCTTTAACATGGGAAAGTGCGTGCTTGTTTGCAGTTTTATTGGCGCTCTGCTGGGGGAAACAGTCCCAGCCGGAGCTGTGGTATGTTTTGAGACGGGATCACAAAGTAAACAGAAAGTCCTCGGATCAGCTCAGAGGACAACAGTCCCAAGACACACAGGTCCCACAGGACAGGCAGGCATGCCAATAAACAAGACAGTCAGGGCTGATTGAAATAAGATGAGTCAGATCTCATCATGACATCGAAACGAACTCAGCCCTTCTGATGAGTTTTACTTTTAACAGTAGATGGTGTCAGGGCAGCAGTGTATTGCAAAATTCATGCAATGTTTTTCACAGTCACATAACAGCCACAAGCTTCAATTCATTTTAGGGATTTTTTTTGATAGACCAACACAAAGTAGGACACAACATAGAAAATTATAGAAAACCATAGAAATGGTATTGAAAAAATCTTTTAGAAATCCGAAAAGTGTAATATTTAGCATTTGTTTTCTTCTGTGTATTTTCTGCCAAAGTAAATTTAATTTACCTTACAAAGCTATTTTGGACCATTTTGTGCTTACCACATAAAAGCTGAGGTAAATGCATTGAGGTTTGTGGTTTAATGTGATAAAAATATGAGAACAGTTCAATACAATATTTTTGCAGTCTGCATGTTTGAGTCATGGATTGTTGTTACTTACATTTCTTCATAAGGTTAATCTTTCCTAGTTTTTAAAAAGTTTTATAAAAAAATACTAACACAATCAAACCACATGGAGAAAAACACATTTTTGTTTCATTTCATTTTTGTCTTCTAATGTATGACAAATTGTAATTGTCTGTTTCTGTCATTGTTATTCATGCGAGCATAGCTCAGTGTTTGTGTTTCTTTTCCATAATTCAGATGCATCCGCCTGCCTGTGGCTCTGTCATTTGCAGACGCAGACGTTTGACACATGATGACATGTTTACAGAAATCCAACACTTCATCACATTTCTGAACCTCCCAGTTGACATGTGGTGAGTATGGGAGTTTTTGGAAAGTTTTGGTGTGCCACGAATTGTTCTGCAGCAGCCCGTCGGATAAAGAGTTACCTCGGAAACAAAAGGAAGCTGGTCAGCTCGAGTCACCGGTTCCTCCCAGTTTTTGTTTTTACCTCCACCATGTTTTTCTGACTCCCTGCTTGAAAGAAACAAAAGAGTTTGGAAAAAGCTGGAACAAAGGAGTGTGCATGTGTGTGTGATGTTTACCTGTGCTTCTCTTTGAACGGGCTACATGCTTGTTTTGTGTGTGTGTAAGAAACACTGGGTTCCTGTCTTCCTACAGAGGAAGGAAAAAGTGCAGAAGACAGAGCAGAGTGACTTCAGGCTGATAAGCCTCATCAGGATGTGTTGGCACGGCTACTCACAACGAGACTTTTTGCTCTTTGGGTTTCAACATTGTAATTGTTTGGTGTCGCCATAGTCCTCTGATGCCATTTTGTTCTTTAGATATGTAACTATTTTTGTTCTCAAAGTGAAATGCAACTGAAACATCCAACACTGGCCAACAATTGTAAACTGTTCTGTGCAGTTTGTTGAAAAAGTATCCACACCCCTGGAGAAACACCTGAGTGAAGTTACCCTCCTCACCACATACCCCAAATGTTTGTCCTGCAAACATTTTAATTTGTGCCACTATCATTTTAAAGATACAGTCAAAAAAAAACCTTGTCAAGATAATTAATTTTATTACAATTGACTTTTTAATGATAAAAACAACATGTAGAACATCAATTCAAACTAAATATAGCCCAATAAACACACTGAGTCTCTGCTAGGTAAGATCAGTATGCTTTAATAAGATATCAGTGCAGAAACACAAACTTCTTACTGGGTTAAAGTCCCCATATAGTAATAATGATATATTATCAGGTCATTATGAAATTTAGCATATTAAAATATATCTGAATTAGCTAATATAACTGTATGACAATGACAACAGCAGAAAACAAGTTATTGAACATGGATCCCAGAAGGAAGAAGAAAAACGATGAAGAGACGGTGGAAGAGCAAGGCTTCACACCACATCCATTTGTCATTTTTTGGGGAAAACCCTTCAAGGAGCACAGTATGTCAAGTTAAATACAATGCCAATGTCTTGTCTATTTTAAATACCAAACTGTTTGCTTCCCACATTTTCTTTTGTTTGTTTTGTTTTGTTTTTTTTTGTTGTATTTCTAAACATAAATTTGCTGTTTTTCTGTTTTCTTTGATCAAATATTCTCAAATCTTTGTTTCTGGTTGAAATTGTCAGAGCAGAAGCTCATCTAAATGGGAGGTGAGACTTTTCTAGGGAAACGTTTCTAATTCAACTTCTGCTTGGCCAAGCCTCTCCATATTCAGTAGTGCAGCTCATTGTTTTAATGTGGTTTCAATGTGAAGAACAACATAATCCATCTCAGGCATTGTTCTGGTTTGATTTTTATTCACCACACTGGTTTTCTGTCAGTCATCTCTCTTTGGTCTCCAAAAACATCAACTTAATGACTGGACAATATTGCACTTTTATTTCCAACAAGTAACATTTGAACAAATATCTAGTAAGGTGCTTTTTTTTTTTTTTTTTTTTTTCTGGAAACTTATTTGAGTAATTCAAAAATTCTACATTCTATACATAATTCTACACATAATCCCAGAAACAGATACAACTTTTTTCCACTTTGAAAGACGAGGAACATCTTATTTGATTAGTGATAAAATTGTGTTCTTGACCTAAATAAAAATAGACTCATAGAACAAGATGGTGTGTGGAGAAAAATAAGTGTTTTACTAAGCGGAAAAAATTTAATGTGTTAAAACAATTCTCATGTTTTGTAAAAGTAATTATTTTAGGTAAATGTGTGGAAACATAGAGGAAGGTTAATCTTGCGCTGACTTTTACTTTATTTAGGGGCTGGCCTACAAAAGACACAGAATGGTACCACCAATGTTTAAAAATAAAAGTAAAATCATAAGAACTGAAGGTTGCATTCATGTTAAGGTTTTGTGGCCTGATGGCATACTTTGATTTTTCTTTGTTTGTTCTTTTATTAGGTTTAGCCAAACCTGACCACAAACAGGAAGTGTGTTAATTTGAAAGGGTGAACAGTTGTCTTCCATTTTGTTCCTCAGATGCGTCTAATGTAAATGAAGTTTAACAAAACTATCCGAGATTTGATTTATTTACTTTTGCAGTATCAAATCTGCAATAAAATGTGTGATACTGGCTTATATTTCCCAATTAACATAACATTTGGGTTGCAATTAAAGTAAAATAAAGTGTTCTACTGAAAAAAGAGGCCGGTTTGATGATTTTCTTGAAACTCTTAAAGGAAATAAAGTTTTGCTAGATTTTAACTGTAACATACATGCACCTTACTGTCATTACCTACAGCACTACTGCCAGGAAATCCTCACTTCAGCATTCATCCAAACTAGAATAAAAGTTCAGCTTCTCCCTGCAGTCAAATCTTTTCCTGCTAATCCTAAACCTTTCAAACAAGAGCAGCTTCATCAGCAGATCTGACAGATTCCTGTTTGTGTGAGGAGCTAAGGAATCCATTTTCATGAGAAGTTCGTTTGACTTTTCATCAAGATTTGTTGTTTCCATGGATGTTCTGCTCCATCAGCAGCTGCATTTCCATTACAATGTGCACAAAACTTTGTCACTGAAACAACATAATTTTGTAATTTTGGTTTCCATTAACTAAGAAACACAGTTTAAACCAGACATGAATAAGTTTGTTCTTGTGATATGTCACTAGAAAACTGCTTCAACCACTTCCTGTCGTCTTCTTTTTCATGGCAACATCTAGAAAAAAAATGTTTCCATTTCAGCTTTATGATATCAACCAATTTCAGTATGGTCAAAAAAGTCTCTCATCCAACTTTTTATTGGAAAACGAGACATTTTTCTAAATGAAGCAAATTTATTTCTGAAATGTCAAATAGTGGAATCATTTAATATAAACTCAGTATAAACTGAGCTTTTATTTTACTTGAGATTATTGGATATTTAGGGAAGGTGTGAAGTAGCGACTAAATCATCAAAGTTATAAAAATATCTACCCTTTTACTAATTTGACTGTGATTCCTAGATTCTTAGATGTCATGAATTTCAGTGGTAGTTCTTGCGGTTAATGTTGTAGCTGTTTGTCTCTTCTGCTCCTTATGAACAACTCTAACCTGATAATCTGGCTAGCCTGCAGGTTGCCGCTTTAAAGATATCCCACTTGAAACACAAGTCCTTTTTTAAATTTTTAGCTGATAGCGATAACCAGCCCATGCTAAAAATAACAATAAGGCTACTGCTGTTTCACATGTAAAATGTAAAAATTTTGTTGGAGCAGAGTAACCAAAAATATTTTCACAAAAGTTATTTGTTAATTAACAACTGAAGCTGAAGGATTTAGTCAACTTTTTGGAGGGCGAAAACTGTGCACTTGAAGGGTGAACTCAATACATAATGTCATGATAAGGCACATTTTATGGGTTCAAATAATATTACCAAAAAAAAAAACAACAACAACAAAGAGAATATCAATAAAATTCAGTGTTAATGGGTCCAAAACATGTAATAAAAGTTCTAAAAATGACACATACATGGTCTATGAAGCACCATTATTTCATAGAAGCAACTTGAAAACTATGCAATTATGTGGCAACTTCACCTTCCTTAAAATATTTAAAATGCTACATATCTGAAAAGTGAAACTTAGAAAACACATGTTCAACATTTTTACTCTGATTTGTTTTTTTCCCTCTTTAGTGTGTAAAAGTAAGAACAACAGTACTGGCCAGCCAACAGATTCAACAGATATTTCAGAATAAAAGAGAGGAAAGAAAACAGGTGGGGGAGGGAAAGGTAGGGCCCGACACCACAACATGGAAACGGGACGACAGGAATTGGCCCAGAGAGAGTTCTTATCTAAACAGCATCTACGGAAAGAGGGGCAACTGAGGACAAAGTACCAGGACACATTAAACACTAAAAACACCATGTTCAAAATTAGTTCTGATTTTAAATACATAACATGTATGTGTACAATTTCTATAGTTTAAAAGTGGTCACCACACAAAGACATTAGCTTCAGAAACAAACAGCGAGACGCAGAAAAATACGGAAAAAAGGAAGAGAGAAATAAGTTTCACTGACATTGTCAGGGTGGAAATTAATTTATGAGGAATAATAATATTCTGTAACAAAGCTCTCTGGTGTTGGCAGCCACTCTGGTGAGAATAAAACAGGAACTGGCCTTGTCTGATAACTGCAAAGTATATAAACTCTGTTTTCACAGGGTGATGCTTTTTTACGTTAACTTTTAATGTGAAAAATCTGTGACTTTCTTCTTCCTCTGTCCAGTTTGCACCGCGGTGAGAACAGAAGTCGTGGGCTGACCTCAGTGCTCTAAAGAGGCGACGGAAACTGTATGACTTTTTTTCTACAAGCCGAACCCATAAAACCCTCAAACATTTCTACATAGTTAAAGTGCCCTCCTGATTGGCCAAGATGCCCATTTCAGTCCCTCCACACGCCCTCTGATTAACCTGAGTGATTGTCAAAAACACCTTTAAATCTCAATCTTTAAATCTCTCTTACAATCTCACATTCCTTTTATTTATACCTTTTTCCCATACTGAAAATTACCTTTTCCACCATTGTATTTGTTCATTTCTTTTTCAGCATTTGAAAAACAAACACTAAAAAGTTCTACTTAAGTATTCCTTTCATGTCTCTCTGTTATGCAATTGCAAAGTAAATTTTTGACTTTTGAACTAAGCTGATGAACACAAAACATCAAACTATGAAAAAAGGCCAGTTTATGTAACATTTTACAGCTAAAAAAGCAAAACCTTAAAACTTTAACTAATGCTTTAGGTGAAAATGATTATTTACTGATTTATTTTTTCAGTCAAGTGATTTAAAAAATATATATTAAGTCAGTCTTGAATTGGAAAGTAGTAGCAAGAGATGCACAGACAAATCGACCGCTATTGTACAATTTTATATTGATTAACTTCGAGTGATGAATAGCTTGGAATAAAATAAAAAAAGGACATTTATCAGATTAGTAAGTATACAGCTAACATGCAAACTCAGTGATGTCAGAAGCTTCTAGAAAGAAGAAAACCATATTTTATACAAAGACATGTCGACTGTTCATACAGGCTGCTACAACAACCATCTGGGACATTTGAAGGAAAGAACTAACCCGGAGTCAATTCACCAACCGATGAAATAAGAGCTAACTAGCTATGTAATGAAAGCAGCCATCATAGCAAACACAAAGTGCTAGAAGCTGTTATATCATTTTGTCTTAATTTAAAATAATACTCAGTTTTGGTATGTTATCTCTTTCCGCTAGCGACGGAAAGTTTATGAACAAAACAAAACTAGACATCAGAAATTAGGAACAAATCTCTAATTTTAATGGAATTAAATCCATATGGATTTAATTACTCTAGAGCAGTGGTTCTTAACCTGGGTTCGATCGAACCCCAGGGGTTCGATGAGTCAGTCTCAGGGGTTCGGCGGAGCCAATGCCGTCGTGATGACGCCCCGCTTCGCCATCACTTGCTGCAGAGGATCACGTTACATTGCTTAGCCAATCAATGCTGAGGAGGAGCATTGATTGAAAGAGCTCCACTCTCGGCATGGATTTGAACTTGTGTCTTTAATTACTTAAGCAAAACTAACCGTTTTTTTACCAAANTTATGTGATGGTATCGGTGATCGGCCCTCATGGGTGATTAGAATCGGAATCGGCAGGAAAAAACCTGATCGGCACATCTCTAGAAATCACAGAACAGGACCCCCACTTCACTGAACTTCTGATGAACTTCCTGAAAAATGTATTACACCACAGATATTTACAAAAGCATAAATGCCTTTTTAACATTTTGTCACATTACAACCACAAACCCTAAATAAGTTTACTAGAGGTTTTCAGAACAGCATAAAGCAACTTACCACTATTACGAGGTAGAACACAATTTGCATTTCTAAAAGATAAAAGCAAAAATATATAAAAATGTGGTCTCCATTTGCTTTTAGCATCGCTGCTAACTATAGTTAGCATCTCTACCAACTTTCAACAACATGTAGCTCATGGGTCTCCAATAATATACATGGAAATGTGTGGTTTTGATGTGATAAAATTTAAAAAGGTTCAACGGGTGTGAACATCATTGCAAGGAACTCCAACAAGAACAATTGAACTTTATTATGACGCCTACAATAAATACGGGAGTGCAAAAACACACCAAGAAACCCAAGCATGTTTGTTTTTTTTTAAATTACTGTTGTTTTTTTATTTACCATCTTCTGGTGTATTCTGTTAATTTTAATGTTGAGCTGTAGTTAAGACATTAGCGGGCGAGTTCATGCATCCCCTGAGGTTAAAAACACACCCTCTTTTAAAACATTAAGCAGCATCTTGAGAGCCAATCTTCATCAGTTTAGCGTTTGGCACTAACGAGAAGTGACAGTGGTGTCCTCTTTTTTTTTTTTTGCAACCTCCTCAATGCGAAGCATCAACAATAGGAAGAGAGTACAGGGTCAAGGGGTGTGTATGTGTGGTGAGGTTACAGTGCAGTCAAACAAAGAGAGTCTATGACACAAATCCAACCAGTCTCTCTCTCCCTCTGCGTCTCTTTTTTCACTGGGCCTCTCACTGTTTGATTCTCTCCCCCCCACCGAATGGTGCCATTGAAAGAAGAGGCAGTTAGGACCTTATTCTATAAAGACTTTGTGAGTTCCCGAAGGAACACACCAACTCTCACAGACGAGCTCGACCGCTGCAGATCATTTTTCATTTGCTCCTTGTCTCTGCGGAATTAAAGGCTCTCGCTCACTCGACAGGGGGGGGGCCAGGGTTTGCAAAGAGCGACGAAAACGTCGATGCAAATCAAAACAGTGACAGCGAGATGCACAATGAAGAGAGAGGCCTTGCCTGTTGTCTGATACATGGCTCTGACAATGTAAACTGGAGCTGACTCCACCCAGCAT